GCAGGGTATCAGGGAGCTCAGGTCAATGAATGTCAGGGTTATGCCGGTCAAAAGGGGCTGGGTTATCACACAAGATGATGGGAAACAATCAAAGTTCAACAAGGGACAAATTAGGGAGGCGATTTCAAACAGTCGTCTGGGTAGTGTGCAGAATCTCAGCACAACTAGCTTCTACCACAGCATTTGCACTCTGAGACCTTAAAGTAACAAATGCAAACACGAACGCAGCACAACGGGATCCATAAAGCTGCACCAAGACAATATCCAATCAGCTGACTACTGGGACAGCACACAAACAATGTTTCTCAGTATTAAAAGGTCGACTAGATCACTCTTTTGATCAGTGTTCATCACCTCATCTGTTACTGGAGATGAACACCAGACTCCGACAGCAGCTCTCTCAGGCCTCAGCTGGCGCTGCTGCTCCGTCCCAAGATGTGCAAACTGCACCCGCAAGCAGGTTCCGAGTCAATGTTTAACATTCATCTGGCTCATCTAAGGCACGCCGACGGTATAATTATACATGCAAAATGATAAACATAATGCTTACCGAGATCTGTTTCCTTTCCAACTACGAGAATGCGAAACAACAATGCTCTCTCACGTGTCCCTCTCATCCTTCTTGACACATCAGCGACTTAGAGATGACCGAATGAAAACATGTCCGAAAATTCACTCTACACCGTTCACCACTATCCACAACGTTACTAGCAGCGCCATCTAGAAAGTAAACTAGCAACCAGAACTAACCAACAGCTCGTGGCTACAATGTAGAGGTCGCCACGAGCTGGACATGTTGGACATGGGATGAGAGATAGAACAGAAGGGAATGGATTGGAAGGAGCCGTCTGCACTTACAATACTGAAGCAGCGTATAGTTTAACAGAACGACGAAAATGATAGAAGCTACTGCTGAACATGTCTACAGTAGGATGTCTGTCCAGAAAACGGTTCAGTTGTCTTGGCAGCCTACCAAACAGTCCTTCCTTGACAGTGCTCACTCGAGCGAATGGTACGTTCAGCAGTACACTAGTTTGCTGTCTGGTTACACGACTGGGTACACAGAGTGAGAATGACTGCAGTAAAAACGATGATGAGATTCTACCTTTAAAAATGTTACGGATAAACATCACATCATGCTGAGTTCTCCGGGCAGCTACAGATACAAGATTAAAATGCCTCAGCAGGTCTCTGTAAGCTAGTGAATGACACTTGTCACGACAGTTGGAATTGAGCCACATTAGAAATTTGTGCTCGATCCGGCCTAAACGATCGGTATGCGTTTCGGCGGCGCCATTCCATATAACAGAAGAGTACTCGAGTATCGACCGCACGTGGGCATATTATGAGGAGAGCACGGATGACACATTGAGATGTCCGCTCGGGTAAGCTATTTGCCCCCAAAACAAAGTTTTGCATTTTGTTGTTACACAAGGCATATACTTTGTTTAGTGATAGACTCAATCGAAGGAGCGGAGCATGGCGCATCTATGTGCAATGAGTTCCGAATTCCGATCGACTGGTACCATAGTCTTTGAGCTATTACCGGTTTTGTCGAAAAAAGAATACCTACCACGCAGTCTACTGAGGGCTGTACCTACATGTGTGCGGCGCCTCCGGCCAGCCAGTGCCCCTGAAACACAGTGCCCGTGAAACGCAGTCTGACCTGCCCCTAACATGTAATGCCCAGTCGATCAGTTAACTTTCGCCCGGGGGGGGGGGGGGGTAACGCGTGCCATTTTTTACGTGTGTAAAGAACACTGCGGCGTGCAGCGTCGCGAAACTTTGTATAGCTAATGGTACATTAATTTCGCATCGCGTGTAAAATTTTTGACCCCAGGTGACTTAAGGTCAGGTCACCAGGCTAACTTAAGTGACCATGCCTCTAAAACACCTTTTGATTCAGTCATTCCCACGGCCTACATCCCAGAAGTTTAAACCTCAGGCTATTGCATGAGGGAATCAGTTCCAACAATTTGTAAATTTTGGAATTTTGATATCGGTAACCTAAGGTCAAGGCCAATTTTGTGACCTCTCGTTACAAGTCAATGGGATAAACTTGAAATGCTCTACTGTTGGCCGAAAACGCCCTCAAACCTCGGAACACATGTGAACATGAGACACTGAATAGGAAAATTGCACATGTGACTCCTAAATGTCCGTGAGGTCATCTCAGGCCAGTAAACATAACCAAAAGTTTTTTTTTTACAATAACTAGATAAAGGCATGCTAGAGCGCTTGAAAGACCATAAATGTGCTCAGCTTAACAATCTGAATCGATTGATGTGTATCGTAACCTTTTCTGTGACCTTGACCTGAGGTCAAATTTTTAGATAACCTTTTCAGGTCAACTTATAGTTCATTCGACGCGTCTCGACGAGACAAACGTGATAACGGTAAAATCAGCGTAGTACAAGCTTGAAGTCAAAAAGTTAAAAAAAAAAAAACATTTTCCACAAACCGCACAAACGTCTAATTTTGAGTTTTTGCCCTCTAGAGGCTAAACCGTTGATCTTATGTCAAATCTGACAATACTCAGAAAGGCCTTTGAAAGAGATATCGAATCCGCTATTCTGCGGCGCTGTAACTTTATTGGCTTCTGACTTATGTCAGAAGTTGTCAAAATCGGGAACAATTCGTGATAATTTTACGTTTGGTGACCTCCAGTGACCTCACCGGTGCATCGGGCGATGACCTGATCGAATAATGATCTGAATGATTCTGACAGCTCTTAAGGCGAGCTATCTAGTGCTTTTTACCGCGTCTATCTAGCTTGCTTACAGGTTTTCTTGTACTTTCCAAGAAAACCTGGTGTGGCGAAATAGCCCCCCCCCCACGCCGCCTATGAATTACTTATCTGTTTTAACCCTATTAGTGGCAGGCTCCTGGCTACCCCCTATTAGTGGCAGGGGGGGGGGGCTGTTTACGACCCCCCCTTGATATCTCGAGATCTAACGGGCCGATTTTCAAAATTCAAACGGCATTCGATTTCGCTCAACGTGATCTACATTTCTAAAAAATAAAAATTAAAAAATGTCAATAGGGGGGGGGGTAGAGGGGGGTAAAAACGGGCAAATTGCAGATACATTTTAGACTGTTTATCACGGCCAGGTTTCTGAACCAATCTTAACGCAACTTTTGCCGATCGATAGAGAATGAACCAGGAATTCACATGGATCCTAAAAATATGCATTTTCAAAAATCATAGGCGGATACAGATCATTGAGATTGGGGGTACACAAAAAGTATAGTAAATAAGGTTTTTGTGGGTACTGTTTCTAAAAAGGGTGGTAATGGTCTTGTTATGTTATAATTTTCTTATGAGAGAACGCCTAAAATTGTATTGGTAATGCATAGGCGGTGTCAGGGCACCTATGTATGTTGGGAGGTAAAACATAACCCCCCTTTTTGGACGCCTGGATCCGCCTATTATAGCAAAAACGTGTCAAAAGAGGATGCACAATAACTGTATATGTTATCACATGATACCTTTTATTCACTGTTCGTAAAACTGGTGCAGCATCGTGATCTTCGCCCAAATGACTCGCTTCACGAATAGGACCCCCCAATTCCCAGTGCTCTGGAGCCGTCCCTGGTAAAGTTATGAACTTGAAATTTTCAGGGAATGTGCCCAATTTAGTTTTAGGAAAAGTCAGAAAATTTCAGCATCGTAGCTTCAGCGGTTTTGGAGATATTCCCGAAAAACCTGAGGGGTGGATAAAAACAACCCCCCCCCCCCCCTGCCACTAATAGGGTTAAGCCATTTTATCACATGTTTTTTGCAACATGATAAGACCATTGGTAGCCCATTTCGCGGTGACTGCACAAAAAAATATTTATTATGCATTTTTTATACCTCCAAAATTCAATTAGGTACTTTTATCCGCCTATGATCTTTCAAAATGCTCATTTTGATGAAACGTGTTAGTTTCTGGTTCATTCTGCATCGATCGGCAGTAGTTGCATCAAAATCGGCTAAAAAACATGGTCTTTGCGAGGAGTTGAAAAAGCATCTGAAATTCAATTGTAAATATTGTTATTTTGCTGGGACGGTTGCACAGTTATAGAAGACATAATTGAACACCAGCTATTACTTTATTTAATGGGAGCTTTCGAAAGCTATGCAGCTTTCTTCGTCAGCCTTGGTACAAAACACTAAAACAGATCCATATAAAATTGAACAACTGTTCAATTTTATATGGATCAATATTTTATGGATCTGTGAACAACTGTTCAATTTTATATGGATCTGTTTTAGTGTTTTGTACCAAGGCTGACGAAGAAAGCTGCATAGCTTTCGAAAGCTCCCATTAAATAAAGTAATAGCTGGTGTTCAATTATGTCTTCTATAACTAAACATCTGAAATTCGCAGTTTTTACCCCTCTTCTGCCCCCTATTAACTCTTTTGGAAATTTTCTTTTTCTTTTCTTCAAAATGTAGATCACGTTGAGGGAAATCGAATGCCGTTTAAATTTTGACGAATCGGCGGGTTAGATCTGGAGATATCAAGGGCGGGGTCGTAAACAGCCCTGCCTCTAATAGGGATAGCCAGGAGCCTGTCAAGTGTCACTAATCGGGCTCTCGATCCGTGGAGCCTGATATAACGGTTCGCTCGCGACTGGCCCCGCGGGAAAGGACGTATGGCGGTGGCATGTAGGGGCTGAGCGCTGGCGCCGGCCGGTATATGTCGGACGGCGGAGCTCCGGTCAGGCGGCACCCTCCCCCAGTGACCGGTGTGGGGAGCTCCGGTCAGGCGGCACCCTCCCCCAGTGACCGGGCACCCTACGCCAGTGACCGGTGTGGGTCGGGCGGCACCCTCCCCCAGTGACCGGGCACCCTCCCCCAGTGACCGGTGTGGGGAGCTCCGGTCGGGCGGCACCCTCCCCCCCCCCCAGTGACCGGCGTGGGGAGCGGCACCCTCCCCCAGTGACCGGGCACCCTCCCCCAGTGACCGGTGTGCCTGGCCGTGTCGGACTGACGCCGCCGCCCTGCTCCGTAGGCAAGTGCATCTGCCGTGACAACACTGCCGGTGACAACTGTGAACTGTGCGCGCGCGGCTTCTACGGTAACGCGCTGGGCGGCACGGCCGACGACTGCCAGCCGTGCCCGTGCCCCGGCCAGGGCGCCTGCATCGAGCTCTACGAAGGCGAGGTGGCGTGCCTCGAGTGTCCGACTGGATACGCCGGTCAGTCCCGCACGGCAGTGGGGGGTGGAGGGGGGGGGCACGGCAGTGGGGGCCGCCGTTCTGAAGCTCGTACAAATTTGATGCAGTGTGTTGTGTAATGATTTCGGGGATCGTCATTTCAATGAGTTGCTTTTGAGAGACACCTGTTATTGGCAGCTGAAATCATGCCGTGCTCATGCTTTGAGACTTCAGCCGTTTTTATGAAGTGAAAATGGTGGTGCGGGTTTGAAAGGTCGTTTTCAGTGCCGTGGACGCTGCGCACGGTCCCAGCTACCCACGTGCACGTGCTGTGGTGCCGCTGAACAGACTGTGCACTGTGCAGACCAGCGCCGCCCCGCGGTCGGCGCTCCCTGGTCCCTACTGACCCCCGTCGGTGCCCGCCGGCGCTCCGTGCTCAGGTCACAAGTGCGACATCTGCATTGACGGCTGGTTCGGTGAGCCGGCCAGCGACAGGCCGTGCCGGGAGTGCGACTGTAACGGCAACGTCGACCCGAACGCAGTGGGCAACTGCGACCGGGTCACCGGCCGGTGCCTCAAGTGCATCCACGACACGGCCGGCTTCAGCTGCGACCGCTGCCTGCCCGGTGAGGGGGGGGGGCTCTGAGACCGCTGAGCGGCGGGGGGGGGGCGGGCTCTGAGACCGCTGAGCGGCGGGGGGGGGGGGGGTCTGACCGCTGAGCGGCGGGGGAGGGGGCTCTGAGACCGCTGAGCGGCGGGGGGGGGGGGCTCTGAGACCGCAGAACGGCGGGGGGGGGGGGGGCTCTGAGACCTCTGAGCGGCGGGGGGGGGGGGGGGGCTCTGAGACCGGTGAGAGCGGGGCTCTGACCGGTGAGAGCGGGGGTTTGACCGGTGAGAGCGGGGCTTTGACGGGTGAGTGTGTGAATTCGTTCTTTTCAGTGCCTCCCCTCATTGACTGGAGCCAAGAGCCGCCAGTGTCAGCGCCTCATTGGTCAAGTTTCTAGTGCTCTTAGTGTGACGCTATGACAAACATATGATTCGGAGTCGTTTCAGTCGTCTCCGCAATTCTGTGTAGATATCGTATGTCAGATTGATTGTGCTACCTCTGCTGTATTGCTTTAGTGTGAGCGTTTTTGGTCTGGAGGGGCAGGCAGGGTTGTCGGCGTTTTATGTATCCCTCTCCCTTCCGTATAGCTGTCTGAGGCGGTACATCTGCCTCGTTAACCCTCGCCCGCACATGGGGGGGGTGACACCCCCCAGGTAGTTTTTCTGCTCTGCACTCAACATTTTAAGAGCTAGAAGCCTGACTTTTCGTACAGCTGCTCCTCTACCCCTTCTTGGTGTCCACTGTCCGCTGAAAAGTTCAAGTTTCTGTTTGCCAGTCTTACCTCCCACCTAATGGAACATGTTGTTCGACGATGTACAGATGTCAAGGTCAGGGTCAAGGTCAACCTAGGTTATCTAAAAACATTGCGTTATACTGAATTTACTTTTCGTGAAGGTTCTTTAACTATATTTTTGATAAAAGCTTCTCATTTCATGATTTCATGTAATATGGACACATAACAATCGGTGCACACATCAGTATACACACAGACATACAAACATATATCATTGACCTTGACCTAAGTTGACCTGAAATGACCTCAGCAGCAAAAACCTGGTCGGATAGTGTGACAAAGAGGTTCTAGCTGGCTTAGCACCACAATTCGGCATCGTCATCGGTGTATGTATGATGAGCAGCTCACTTGATATCCAACGGTGACCCAAAACAGCAGCATTTTTTAGTTTGACCAGACCTGGGAGGTCAATGACTGACCTGAGAAGGTAAAACTGGGTATCATTAGATTCGTCTTTTAGTGCCCTGATTCGTCTCTTCCCAAAGAATCTTTTTGGTCTTTACCGCGAAGCTCTATCACCAACAGGAACGAAATGGGGCGGGGGGTAGCATGTGCGTTCTAGGATAGGAAAATGGCATGTGCGGGCGAGGGTTAACCCGCGCCCTGTTGGGAGGGCGGGGGGGGGGGCTGAACGCCCCCTGCAGTTTTTCGCGAATACCTTAACCCTCGCCCGTAAACGGCGATCTGCCACCTTCGCCCATGCAGGGGGGGGGGGGTTGGTGCGACCCCCCCTTGGCGTTTGAAAACGGAGCGTCGTAGAGCTTAGCGGAAAAGACCAACGGATTGCTCTCGCCGAGATCTCGCGATTGGTGGTATATTTTTTGGTCCTAGGTCAACATTTGACCTACTTTTGACCGGTCAAAGGTCAAATTTTCGGAAAAATAGACTTTTTTCAACTTTCCGCGGCGATTGCGGCAAAACGGTGGGAGATATCGACTTGAAACCTTCACTATCGTGTTCCTTGATCAATTCTCTATCGTTTGGTATGTATTTCGTTTCCCTAGCTCTAAAAATGGCGCGTTGGGAGCGCCGGAAGTCGGCAAGGTCACAGTCGGCGGCAGAAATTCGAAAATCGTAAGTGGTTAAGCGTTCTGAGGAATATCATCATGAGAAGTATGCGCATCTGGCTGACCTTATCCTCACTTCTGTATGGAAATATGAAATTGCAAAAATAAATTACTGTATTCAAAAATCGAGATATTTCGAGCACAGCTCTTCGTCGGTCGATTGTAATTATTTACACACATAACATAACAGACATTGTGTGCCTGTTATGTGTGTAAATAATTACAATCGACCGACGAAGAGCTGTGCTCGAAATATCTCGATTTTTGAATACAGTAATTTATTTTTGCAATTTCATATTTCCATACAGAAGTGAGGATAAGGTCAGCCAGATGCGCATACTTCTCAGAAATTCGAAAAATCAAAATTTAAATTTTTGAAATCTGATTGTATTTTTTGATTTGGAAGGTCCATTTGCTCCCTATAGAAGCTAATATTGCTGCATATTCCCATTGAGGTGACAAGAATTAGCAAAAAAGTGGTTCGGGCGCTTTTCAAAAATAGTACCGGACGCTGTTCCTCTTGTGACGTCATAGCTCCGTGACCTGACCTGACCCGGTCAAGTTTCTTATACCATATGATAGCCAATACTTGCCCCAACATGCATGGGAAGTTTCATCACGATCCATCAACCGATGTCCGTACCACCGGCAGGAAACCTCGGGCGTTGGCACTCAGTTTGTGAAAATCCGGCCGGAGGCTGTTCCCTTTGTGACGTCATAACTCCGTGACCTGACATGACCCGGTCACATTTTTTTTATCAAAAAATGCGCAAGGTTTGCCCCATAAGGTACCCAAAATTTGGCGGCGCTGCGCGCCGCCGTTTTTGCACTATTTCCGAAAAACCTCAGGGGGGGGGGGGTTGCACCAACCCCCCCCCCTACATGGGCGAGGGTTAAAATAGCGAGTATCTGAAAAAATAAAAAATAGCGAGCTTGTGTTACACCGAGTGACGGATCACTTTGAAGTTTTTAGGTTTTAGAGAAGGACAAAAGTATTGACAAGATTTATGTATCGAAATTTAGTATCGGTGACCTAAGATCAGGACAATTTTGTGCCCTCTCCATTGTCATTCTAAACACTTTCAAACACTGACTGACAAGTAAACATGACACACTGAACCGAAAAATGGCATCCGTGACCCCGTCTTATGTTCGTGAGGTCATCCCAGGTCACGAACAAATATCGCTAATACCTATAGGTACAGCCCACCGCTAAAGTAATGTGTGGTTTTAACAATCTCAGCGGATGGCTTTGACCGACGATTTTTAAATGCGGACTGATTGAAAAGAAGACGTCAATAGATAAAGTTGTAGCTGCAGGGGTGAAGATATATTTAAGCTACATTTAAAGTCTCGTTGCAGTCTGGCTAATCGTTCCTAGGCTTCAGAAGCAGAACATACCCATGACTGAAACCACACATTACTTCTGCTGTGGACTGTACCTAGCAACTTTTGATAGAGGCATGTGAGATGCTAGAGTGCTAAAAACGCTAGATGTGTACAGTTCGACTATGCGAATCGGCTGATTACGAGCGAGCGAGCGCAGCGAGCGAAGTGAGTCTTTTCAACATAACGGAAAAATCTCAGTATGAGCGGCCCGGCCCGGCCCGGCCCGGCCCGGCCCGGCCCGGCCCGGCCCGGCCCGGCCCGGCCCGGCCCGGCCTGTAACGCTTTTGAGATGCTTATATCTCAGCAACCGCTGGACCGATTGGCCTGCGGTCTTTTTTGTTGGGTAGCCCCATCCCTTCTACCCCGTAATTGACTACTTTTGATACATCTCAGTGACCGTCGTGGCACGTGCCACGTGAAAAGTCAAGGGTGTTCAAGCTGTTTTGCAAAAGTAGTGCTTTTGAGAGGCTCATATCTCAGCAGCCGCTTGGGCGATTGACTTGCGGTAATTTTTGTAGGGTAGCGGCATCCCTTCTACCCAAAATAGGATACTCTCGATGCATGTGGGTCACCCCCAGTGCACGTGCAAAATACAACAATAAGAGGTGCCAAATTTGTTCCCATTTCAGTAACTCGGTAATTACTGGGGCGATTTCGCTGAAACTTGGCATACAGGTAGGCACCCACCAGGCAATGCATTCCCATGTGTTGCGGTTGGGGTGCTACTGCACGTGCGCACGTGCAGGGGGCGTTTCCAGATCTCGAGAACGGCTGGGCCGATTGCGCTCAAATTTGGTACACGGTTGGGGACCAGTTAGTAGGGTGCCGTGCAAAAGTCATTTTGGACCCCGGTTGCACGTGCGCACGTGCAGAATGCCGCTTCCAGATCTCAGGAACGGCTGGGCCGATTGCGTTCAAATTTGGCACACCGCTAGCGACCGGTTAGAAGGGTGCTTTGCGCAAGCCCGTTGGAAGCACCCTCTCGCCCTTCCGCACGTGCATGGCTCACTATCTCGCTCGCTCGTTCTTCGCCCAAAAGGCGTTTTACTGGTTATGAGCGAGCGAGCGCAGCGAGTGAAGCGAAATCTTTTCAATATAAGGGGAAAATCTCAGTATGAGCGGCCCGGCCCGGCCTGTAACGCTTTTGAGAGGCTTATATCTCAGCAACCGCTGGACCGATTGGCCTGCGGTCTTTTTTGCTGGGTAGCCCCATCCCTTCTACCCCGTAATTGACTACTTTTGATACATCTCAGTGACTGTCGTGGCACGTGCCACGTGAAAACTCAAGGGTGTTCAAGCAGTTTTGCAAAAGTAGTGATTTTGAGAGGCCCATATCTCAGCAGTGGCTTGGGCGATTGTCTTGCGGTAATTTTATAGGGTAGCTGCATCCCTTCTACCAAAGGTCGGATACTCTTGATCTATGCGAGTGACCCCCACTGCACGTGCAAAATACAAAAAGAAGAGGTGCCAAATTTGTTCCCATTTCAGTAACTCGGTAATTACTGGGGCGATTTCGCTGAAACTTGGCATACAGGTAGGCAACCACCAGGCAATGCATTCCCATGTGTTACGGTTGGGGTGCTACTGCACGTGCGCACGTGCAGGGGGCGTTTCCAGATCTCGAGAACGGCTGGGCCGATTGCGCTCAAATTTGGTACACGGTTGGGGACCGGTTTGTAGGGTGCCGTGCAAAAGTCAGTTTGGACCCCGTTTGCACGTGCGCACGTGCAGAATGCCGCTTCCAGATCTCAGGAACGGCTGGGCCGATTGCGTTCAAATTTGGCACACCGCTAGCGACCGGTTAGAAGGGTGCTTTGCACAAGCCCGTTGGAAGTACCCTCTCGCCCTTCCGCACGTGCGGGGCTCACTATATCGCTCGCTCGTTCTTCGCCCAAAAGGCGTTTTACTGGTATGTATCACTACCTTTTCCATGACCTTGACCTGACCTTCCATTTCATGAATTGACCTCAGGTCAAATGTTCCATGCTATAAGTTGACCTTGAAAGGTTAGCTTAAAGATGATTTTACGCGTCTCAACGAGAGAAACTTGATGCTGGTAAAAATAAGCTCGTGTAAGTTTTGAGTCAAAAGTTATTCCAGAAAAAAAACGATTACCGCACAAAACGTTTATTTTAGCAGTTTTACTTCCTGCAGGCAACCTGCAGGACCTTAGGCCAAATCTGAGGACAGCTCGTAAAAATAGTGCTGAAATATATTGAATGCACGTTTTCGCGGCGCTGTAGCTGTTTTCATTTCGAGCTATGCGCCGGTTTGTTGAAAATTGTCGAAGTGGGACCTGAAAGTTGCAAAATTTGACCTTCGGTGACTTCTGGTGACCTGACCCTTGACTTGACCTAAAAAGTGACTGGAGTAATTTCGTCATTATTTCTGACGCTCTTTCGAACGCCGCCTACGGCGTATCGCTACGTGGCCCGGAAGCCGAGTTAGAGGGGTGATGTTCAAACACCCCCCAGCAGGGCGTGGAAATCCAGGAGCCCCGGGGGTAGGGGTGGGGGGAGGGGGTTAACGCGGCTGCGCTCCGATCGCTGACCTTTTCCAGTCCCACTAACCGGCCGGGCTCCCTCCCCTCCCCTCCCCTCCCCTCGCCCGCGCCACCGCCGCCGCCTCCGGCGCCGCGCCACCCAGCGCCACCGCGCCGCGCAGCTCGCTCCTAATAAGGGGACTCATTTAGCGCCATGTTAGTATGCGGGCCGCTCGCCGGCGGCGGCGCGGAGCCTGCGTCGACCGGGGGGGGGACCTGCCTTGCTCTTCCGGACAACGTCAATGATTTGCGAGGAAACAGGGACCCAAGGTAACCACCTGACCAGGAAACAGGAGCCCAAAATCACTGCCTTCCCAGGCTAGAGGGACGGGCCGGCCGTCCGTCTGCCGGCCCGTGTCCGTGGGCCGGGGATCGGTGGTCCGGGCTCCGCTGACTGACGGCGGCTATCTCCGAAATGCGTTCTGCAGTGTCAGACCGGCGTGCCATCGGGAGTGACGAGAGGCCGCCGCGGACGGACGGTGGTCCGACAGCGGGGAGGCGGCGCTGAACCGACCAGACGAAGGCCACCAGTATTGGTCGCCGCTCGCTAGGCGTGGCTCGATCGTCGTATTTTAAAATACCGCTCTCGGCCAGCGCTGCCGAACCGGCTGGGCCTGGTGTGGGGCTGCGGCAGCCCTGTCCCAGCCCTGTCCCAGCCCTGTCCCAGCCCTGTCCCAGCCCTGTCCCCGGTGGGAGACGCTGCTGCAGTAGCCGGTGGACAGTCGGTCGCCGCCGCCGGGACTGGGTGGTGGCGGATGGCGCGGGGGGGGGGGGGGCAGCGGTCCGCACCCGAGCTCTGCCGTCACCTGCTCCTCTCTCCGCCATTCGTTACGGCACGAATGGCGGAGAGAGGAGAGGAGAGGAGTCTGTGGTGGGCTGCTCTGAGCGCGCCGGCCCCGTGCGGTCTGCTCCCCACCGACTGACGCCCGTCCCGGCCCGTCCCGGCCCCTGCGGTCTGCTCCCCACCGACTGACGCCCGTCCCGTCCCGGCCCCCTGCGGCCTGCTCCCCACGGACTGACGCCCGTCCCGGCCCCGTGCGGTCTGCTCCCCACCGACTGACGCCCGTCCCCGTGCGGCCTGCTCCCCACGGACTGACGCCCGTCCCGTCCCGGCCCCCTGCGGCCTGCTCCCCACGGACTGACGCCCGTCCCGGCCCCGTGCGGTCTGCTCCCCACCGACTGACGCCCGTCCCGTCCCGTCCCTTCCCGTCCCGTCCCGGCCCGTCCCGGCCCCGTGCGGTCTGCTCCCCACCGACTGACGCCCGTCCCGGCCCGCTGGCGCAGGCTACTTTGGCGACCCGCTGGCGCTGCCCAGGGGCGACTGTCGCACGTGCGGCTGCAACCCGGTGGGCACGCTGCAGCTGGAGGGCCAGCCGGACGGGGCGCACCTGTGCGACCAGCTGACCGGACAGTGCTCCTGCAAGCCGTTCGTGGCCGGCGACAAGTGTGAGCGCTGCGTCAGCGGATACTGGAACATCCTCAGCGGAGAGGTGGGTCGCACAGCCGCGCCGCTCAGCCACCGACGCTCACTTACGGCCGCCTCTAACTTTGGTGTCAGACTCGCTGTTGCGTATTTGTCCCTCACCAGCTGATTGTTTTATTCTTTGCGCACTGCTCATATGCCGGTAGCTTATGGATAGGCAAGCTGACCCCACTGTGTCGCATTTTCAGTGTAGACAGTGTTCAGCTCACGGTAAGGTTTCATTAACCTGGCCCTCAGTCGCTGTGCTGTCAGTTCACCGTTCACCCTCAGTCGCTGTGCTGTCAGTTCACCGTTCGCCCTCAGTCATTTTGCTGTCAGTTCACCGTTCAAGCTGACGCTGGCTGGGGCACTGTGCAAAGTGCCGTCCCGTGTGTGTGTTTGTGTGTGTGTCTGTCCACCTGCGCTCGGCCGCACCCCACCCGACTCCGCTGAACACAGTGACCTCATGCCCAGGGGTGCGAGGAGTGCGGCTGCGACCCGATCGGCGCCTTCAACGCCAGCTGCGACATCGCCTCTGGCCAGTGCTTCTGCCGCGAGGGCGTCGTCGGCCGGCGCTGCGACCAGTGCGACGTCAACATGTTCGGCTTCTCGAGCAGTGGCTGCCAGCAGTGCCGCTGCGACCCGGTCGGCTCGCTGGAGCTGCAGTGCGACGCGAGCGGACAGTGCCCGGTAAGTGCGCGGATAGTCCCGCGGACACGGGGGGCTAGGCAGGCTCCTCTGCTCCCCATGTCGCTGTACCGTGATGCTGGTCGTCCCATATCGTTGTGCGGTGACGCTGGTCGTCTCATATCGTTGTGCGGTGACGCTGGTCGTCCCATATCGTTGTGCGGTGACGCTGGTCGTCCCATATCGTTGTGCGGTGACGCTGGTCGTCCCATATCGTTGTGCGGTGACGCTGGTCGTCCCATATCGTTGTGCGGTGACGCTGGTCGTCCCATATCGTTGTGCGGTGACGCTGGTCGTCCCATATCGTTGTGCGGTGACGCTGGTCGTCCCATATCGTTGTGCGGTGACGCTGGTCGTCCCATATCGTTGTGCGGTGACGCTGATCGTCCCATATCGTTGTGCGGTGATGCTGGTCATCCCATATCGTTGTACGGTGATGCTGGTCGTCCCATATCGTTGTGCGGTGACGCTGGTCGTCCCATATCGTTGTGCGGTGACGCTGGTCGGCAGCGGCGGCAGAGCGCCGGCCGCCGCTGTGAGACGGACCGTCCGCGGCTCCATGGGCTGACCGGCAGCGGGCCGTCAGCTATGTGCGCGCTGACAAGCTGCACATTGCACGTGGCTATAGTTCGTTTTTTTTTAAGTTCGACCCTCACTCACTGGCGGATCCACGGTTTCGGCGCGGGGCGGGGCAAACCAAGTCACGGAGCCAAACCTAGGGTACCACCAAATCCTGTTTTCTCATCGGATTTAGGCATTTATTTGCCGTCATAGCCCTGATACGATAGTTTTTTTTTCTTAACCCGTGCACCACTGGGGAGGGGGCTATTCATAGCCCCCTACCGTTTTTCTGCAATAACTTCCAAACCGCTTGACGTATCGACGCCAAACTTTCAGTACCTTCGGCTGCATCAATTTGACACATTGTGTCAAAATATGAACTTCGTAGCGACCATAGGTCGGCTGGAAATGACATCAGAATGACTTCATGTTCGGCCGATTTCGACGCAAAACATTGAACTACGGCAATCGCTCCCAAGAGCTCAGTTTTTAACTACTAGTATATCCAATTTCTTTGCATGAGAGGACTCAGAATAGACTGCGCTATCAAACTGCTATCTCGGATTTTCAAAATTTTGAATATTTTGAAAATTAGGTATATACTAGGGTGACCCGCGTGCTCCGCAACGCGAAAAGGGGTATTTTCGATCGGCGGGTGTTTGGCTGCTCTTGTGTCGGTTGGGTTATCCATCCATTTCGGTCGATTGCCTTTTGACGGCTAAACGATTTGGTTTGGAAAGAATATCCATCGCATCGAGGTGCCCGTGTCTGATAAGCATGCTTTCTACTTAAGAAAACATGTCAGATGTGTTTTATAATTTAGGCGCGTAGTTTTATGACCAATTAAAGGCGTAGATAATTTTCACTAAAAATCGTTTTGCAGAGGTTTGAAACATTTATATTTTTAAGAATACTGTTGCTTGTCATGCAAACGTGATGATTGGATCTTGGAGAGAATTGAATGCTCTTTCCAATGATAGCATTTTCAATTGTCAAACGTATCAGGTTAAGCAGCAAAATCCGTGTAATTATTTAGTGGCACATTTTGGACAAATACCATTTAATTCAGCGATTTTTTTCCACATTGTTTTTGATCAATTAGCTTTTCACAATTTTTCCATGAGAGACGGTACATTTTTATTGCTAATAGGCGCTGTTTCAACTCATTCCGTCTGACGATCACCTGAAATTAATATAAATTCCAAAATCCGTCCAAAACGTCCATTTTTCAAAAGAAAGTGTCCTCCCCGGTGCACGTGGCGCGTGCCAACCCCTGCACCGCACACCATTCGATAGCCCGTTCGATTCTCTACACGATGCTGTTTTCCCCGTACCGGTCGGGCCCACGGTTACCGAGATATTGCACCGGGACCGGACCCGTGTCGGGCAAATTTGGCTGTTTTCGCCCGTTTTTGCAAGCCGATTAATACATGTAAAGTCTATGACGCGAATTTGCACTTTTTGGGCACGCGCCACGCGCTCGCTATCGATCCGATCGAGCTGAGACCCATCAAAGGCACGTTGTCCATCCTTGTTCTATGAGTTGCGCAAACTTCAGCGCGGTAGGTGCAACGGTGTGACCTGTAACCCGCGCTACGCAGCACCATGTCGCGACCTTCGTAATAGACAGAAACTACGTCACCACAAATAGTAATATAGATATTAAAAATAAAACTTATATTTATATTTTTTCACAAAATTTTTGACTTTTCGATAAAAAAACGGAATATTTGTAATAGAACGCATGCTTATGACTTACTCTAGCATGTTTTAGCTAAATATCGTCAAAAATGGCCAAGTTATACGCATTATTGCAAAAAATTAACAATTATTAATTTTTCCAATCACTTTTTCAGTACGTATTTGACATCGTAGGTACACCAATATAAATAGAACCATCGTGTTCCTGAGCTCAAACTGCATCCAATAGACTCCTTTTTTGTTGAAAAATGTTAACTTCAAAATTTGACCTTTTTTGACCTGAAAGTGACCTGAACTAAGCTAAATTCGACTCAAAATGACCTCGAATGAAACAAACGACATAAAACTCGAAATCTATGGCCTAAATGGACCATAAAACATGTGTCACGTGACCGACGCATGATATTGTATTTCCGTGACCTGTGATGACCTGACCCTGACCTGAAAATCAAAGTACAAGTTTGGTATCCTCAGGGTATATAAAGCATCTGTTCACGATTGTGTAAACGAAAAATGAGCCTGATGTGACTTGAAAGACGGCGGCCAATGCCCAAAATGTGAACAAGCCAAAATGCTAATAATTTTTACTTTGACCTGACCTGTGACGTCATCGGTGACCTCGAAGTCAATGAAATTAGGTTTCGCTCGACAGTTTTTCCGGGGCTATCAGACGCCGTTTGAATTTTGACGATCGGCCCAGTAGTGAATCGACCTGTGTGATTAAAGCAATCTCGCATCGCGTCGGGGCTGATCCGCAGCGCGTCGGGTCTCATCCGCAGCGGGTCGCTGTCGTCTTACGGAGGTGACTGAACGGGCGGCGCAAACGCCCGACCCCGTGCCCGAGACTGACCACTTGACCAGTGACTGGTGCCCGTGCCGGCCACTGACGGTGTTTCGGATGGGTTCCAGTGCCGGGAGAATGTCGAAGGAGCTCGGTGTGACCGCTGCAAGGAGAACAAGTACGACCGGCAGGCCGGCTGTCGTGGTGAGTACCGAATCGCGCGCCTACCTCCCGGGGTGGCGGTGTGGGGTACCCGGCCTGCCGGGGTGGCGGTGTGGGGTACCCGGCCTGCCGGGGTGGCGGTGTGGGTACCCAGCCTGCCGGGGTGGCTGTGCCGGCCACCCTTCTGTGGACGGTATCCTCGGAAACTGTCCAAGCCCAGGAAGGCCTTTGCCTGAATAATGAATGGACAATCGCAGCATGTACACACTGTTGACTGTTGACTGAGTGTCATGAGTCACGACCAATCTAAATGCCCCCTTGTCCCCTCGAGAGCAAAGACAAGCAGTTCAAACATTAATGAGTTGCAAGAATCCGGAGCGTCCCTTTCTAGCCTCATTGGCGTGAACAAAACTTGCTCCGGCGCTGACCAGCGACTATGGCAGTTGGCCACCTAAACTTAGGAACGTGAGGAAAAACGTGAGAAATGCTGGCGAGCCGGGATTGTAGTTGAATGTGTCGTAAATTCTCCTCAACAGCTGCAGGGCCCGAGAGATTATCTCCCTTCCACGCGATTTCATGAAAGTCGCCCCACTTTCACTGTGGAGCCCTTCTGCGCTGAATATACGGGCTGACTGCCGGTGTGCGGGAGGCAGGGTGTGCCTAATCCAGGCCGGGGCGCTCTTTTGGCGGCGCGCCGCAGACGGGTGGCCGGCGGCCGGCGCGCGCTGCTCTGATCGGCTCTCCCTGTGTCAGACGCCACCATTGAAAGGCTATCGGCTCATGGGGCAACAATTTGCCTGCAGCCGGCGCGGCGCGGCGAGCTGGCACCGGGAGCGGACCGGACGGCAACTGGTGCGGGGGGAGCGGCGGCTGGCACCGGACGGCAACTGGTGCGGGGGGGGGGGAGGGCGGCTGGCACCGGGAGCGGACCGGACGGCAACTGGTGCAGGGGGGGGGAGGGCGGCTGGTACCGGGAGCGGACCGGACGGCAACTGGTGCGGGGGGAGGGGGCTGGCACCGGGAGCGGACCGGACGGCAACTGGTGCGGGGAGAGGGCGGCTGGCACCGGGAGCGGACCGGACGGCAACTGGTGCGGGGGGGAGGGCGGCTGGCACCGGGAGCGGACCGGACGGCAACTGGTGCGGGGAGGGCAGTGGGCCGAGGCGCAGGGCGGCCACTTGCCGGGCGCCTCTGCAGTGTCCGAGGCCCTGTGTTGTCCCCGAGCTGGTCTCTCCCGGTAAGCCTCGCTCCGTAGTCCAGGTACCCAGCCCGCGCGGCAGTCGGATGAGTCCCCTGGATCGCCGGTTATCGGTCGTAATCACTCGGGCCCTTCAGACAGCTCGGGAGACGAGAGGTAACGGCTCCACGTCTTAGGTGCGTACGTCCTAACTTAACATGGTGCGCCGATGATTGGTTCGGAAGATGATAATGACGTTGAATTGATGCGTAATGATATTTAATACATTTAACAACATTCTGGCCAGACCGGTCACTGGTAGTCGGTCATCGGACCGATGTTTTCCATCGTCTGTGAACCACCGGTGGTGACGGCTGACCGGTGGTGTCGGCTGACCGGTGGTGTCGGTTGACCGGTGGTGTCGGCTGACCGGTGGTGACGGCTGACCGGTGGTGTCGGTTGACCGGTGGTGTCGGCTGACCGGTGGTGACGGCTGACCGGTGGTGTCGGCTGACCGGTGGTGTCGGCTGACCGGTGGTGACGGCTGACCGGTGGTGTCTGCCCGCTGCCGCTCGGAGCGGCCTCAGCTCGCTGCCGAGTCACACCGCTCGGGTAAAAAGGCGGCCGTCGGACAGCGCAGCGTGGCCGCCGGGCCGCAACGGGAGCCGCCGGATCGGGTGGCCGCCGGCGGCCGGTGCCATGCGGCGCGGCGGCGCCTCCCGGCCCGAGGGGCGGCGCGCGGCGCCGGGGGTGGTCGGCCCTGCACAGTGCACACTCGGCGCCTCGGCTGGCCCTTAGCCCACCTCGGAGTGCACTCAGTGCGGCCGCAAACCGTGCCGCCGCCGAAACCGATGCGGCGATTGCCACGATTTATTTTCTCGGCACACGCGGCGGGCATATTCTGGGTCCGGCCGATCGAGCGCACAGAGGCTGAGCGGGTGAGCTGCGAGCCGCCGGGCTGAGCTGTGTGCGGCTGCTGGACGCCGGGCTGAGCTGTGTGAGGCTGCTGGACGCCTCCGCCGCGCTGTGTGCGCTGTGTGCTCGGCTGACCGGTGGTGGTGGTGGGGGTGGTGGTGGTGGTGGCTGAGCTGTGTGCGGCTGCTGGACGCCTCCGCCGTGCTGTGTGCGCTGTGTGCTCGGCTGACCGGTGGTGGTGGTGGTGGTGGTGGTGGTGGCTGAGCGGGTGAGCTGCGAGCCACCGGGCTGAGCTGTGTGAGGCTGCTGGACGCCGGGCTGAGCTGTGTGAGGCTGCTGGACGCCGGGCTGAGCTGTGTGCGGCTGCTGGACGCCGCCGGGCTGAGCTGTGTGCGGCTGCTGGACGCCTCCGCCGTTCTGTGTGCGCTGTGTGCTCGGCACGGCTGCGTTGCCGACGGGCGGCGCCCGGCCGGGCCGCCATCTGCCCAGCCTGGCACGGTACTTCACCTCCTGCGCAGTGATACCGAACCACACGGCACGGGCGCACGTGACTTCCTTAAACATATCCGACCGAGCCCATGGTCGAGCGCAGGGTGGGCGTAACCCGCCTTACCAGTCACCGCCGCGCGGACGTGTCGCCCCACTGGGCCAGAGGGCAGCAGCGCCGTACACGGCACACAGCGGCCAGCTGGCTGCGGCGCGGCTGTGTCCGAGCACAGTATACAGTAGCACCCCCACCCCCACCCCCGCCGAGAAGGGCCGGCCCGGCCCGGCTGTGGCCGTGCCGGTGGCTGGGCTGCTGGTCACGACCTGCCGACATTCGTACTCAGTCCGCGGCACAGCACAGGGACCGCACCCGACAGCCGCCGGCCGGCCGGCGCACCTGCTCTCTGATTCAGCCGAGTGGTGCATGTGTTATCGTCACCGTGCAGTGAGCTGGGAGCTGCACACAGTGCACACCAGTGCACAGTCAGGTGCACAGCCCGGCCCGGCTCTCGGCGCCGGCCGCCCAGCGCTGACCGTGTCTGCCTAGCGTCGCCGGCTGCCCGACGCAAAGCGTCCATTGTATAGTGACCGTCGACCAAGCAATGTACGAGAGCGCTGAGCACGGTATTTGGTGTGGTCGGCAGACTACTGTCTATACTTATAGAGAGCCCGTGCTGAGCCGTCCCTGATGGTCTCGGCCGGTGCAGGCTGACGTCGGACGGCCGGCCGGGTGGGGCCTGGGCAGGAGTCAGGACCCTCGCTGCACACCACCGCCTGGCCTGTGTCGGACTCGTTCGAACCCGCGCGGACGAGAGGCGTGCCCCGACGTCTGCTTACACGCTGCTCTGAGCACAGCCGACATTGTGAAAACGGCCGGCCCGTCCTGTCAGAGCTGCGGCGTCGGCACCGTGGCCGCCAGCCTGCAGTGCTGGGCTGTCGCCGTTCGCCCCACACCTCACACCCTGGGCCGCAGTCACATGCAGTGCGTTGTCACGGCGGCTCCGTGGCACCGCAGTGACCTGTGGTCTGTGGACCGTCGTGCCGTCGACCGTCGCGCCGGTCAGACCCTGTCAGTCGGGTTTCAGTACGGGGCGGCGGCGGGCTGCGGCCGGAGCCGGTCAGTAGAGCTCTCTGCAGGTACCGGTCACGTACCGGAGGGGTGAGGTCACGTACAGTAGAATAACTCCTCTCCGTATGCGGGCAGGTGGCGCCTGAGTAGCGCTCAGGCGCTGCCCACTGGTGACCCGCTTACGGCGGGGACTTATTTTGTAGACCTACTGTACCGGTCACGGGTCAGGTCAGGTGGCTCGCGAGGCCGCCCCAGCAGCGTCCCGCTCCCCGTCACATTGACTGATCTGCCTGTCAATCGACCGCTGGGAATTTCACAACATTGATCACACGTAGATTGGAAAACTGCCATTTGGAACTTGATTTGGAAGTTATTAATTATGGCCAATGACTTGCCAAACGCCGTCATTGACGGGCCATGGTATCGACATTCGTCCAACGCAGTGGACACTGGCACTGACAATCCTGATCGACGCTGTCGAGTGGATGACGCGGCGTGTCGCCGGCGCTTCTGGCAGCCAGCTGTGACTGGAGCACATTGTTCCGAACCTACCTCCCCTGTACATACATAGCCGCCAGCACTTTTTTTTTTGTAAAAATAAAGGAAACATCGTTCAGGACAATTTTTATCCTACATTCGAGGACATAGTAGTGCTGTGTGGGTGTTCGACTCCCTGTAACATATACATACATGCCTATAGTCTGATATCGATAGTGAACTCTGTTTCCCGTCCAACAGTGTCCCGGTAATAGTGTGTCCCGAAACAAAGTGTCCCGGTAACAGTGTCCCGTTGTGTCCCGGTAACAGTGTCCCGAGAACATGAGACGGATGTCCCGGTAGCAATGTGTCTCGATAACGATGTGTCCCGGTAACAGCGGAGTCGGGGCTGTCCGCAGCGGTGTGGGGCGGCGTCGCGCGTCGCGCCGGCTCGGGTTCCATTAGCAGTCGGCTCGGTCAGGTGGCCTGCCGGCTCGGGTTCCATTAGCAGTCGGCTCGGTCAGGTGGCCTGCCGTGAAGGTCGCTGGCGACGCGCCGTGCCGTGCAGCGGCTGCAGACCGCCTCCTGACCTTGCCGTGGCCGCGCCGCCGGCGCTCCGGAGACGCTCAGTCATGGACAGCGAGCGCTGCCCGAGATCTGATCAGATGCGCCGGCGGGTGATACCGCATACCTGCTGATCCATGATGGCGGAGTTGGCAAACGTGAGGAAATCGACACCTCGCACATTCGGCGTTCGGCGCATGGACGCGCTTCAGGGCGAAACTGTGATTTGTGCTTTGTCGATGCACGCGTCACTCGGCCGAAATTGCTGCCGGCGTAAGGCCCGGTAACAATATTTATCGACTCGCTGGCTCGCATGGGTGGCGACTGCCGACTTCCACGCCTGATGTTTGGTAA